CCACATGAAATGCTAGCTATTTCAAATGCAAAGCTGCCAATCACAGTAGTGGGCATTTACACTGAATTCTCAGAGCAGACATGCCCCTTCAAACAAACAGTTCAAATCAGAAGGAAAATCGGTCTAGGAAAAATGCCTTTTATTTCTAAATTATGGAAAAAAATAACGAAAAATTCAGCCTAGCATGGAGATGAACAGGGAGAGCAGTAATACCTTAGGGTAAACAGAACCAAAATGAATATATTGCATATATCATTAATTCAGGATTTTAAAGTACAACATAATTTGAGAATTTATTCTGATTCAAAGAATTTATTCTGAATCAGAATACCATACTGACTCATACTAGAGGAGCTAGGGATGGAGGAGGTCAATTAGCTCCAGAGAAAAGCGATAGCTGCTGATAATGCTGAAGGAGCTTATACTGTAGTGATTGGTGTCATATTCCTATAGCTAGACATGTACCAGCTGAGAGTCAGCTTATGCAAGCTTGACTAACGTGACCTGTCAGAACTGATGCTATACTCTTAATGTTTTGTAAACACTTACTCATGTTTTTAGTTCCTCCTCCAAAGAGCAATGGGTTGTGGGCAATATTAGCCGTTATAGTGTGGAGCCATTGTAGTGTATAGCCGTTATCACACTAGGGAGCCAATAGTCTCCAAGAATCTTAGAATGAGCCAATGCACATTAGTGTGCAAGATATGCATCTCACATTCTGCCCACGGTGCGGGTATAAATATGTAAGTAGATGCACGCACCATTTGCTTTTCATTGAGGAGCCGAGAGTAACTCTGAGTCAGTGGTGGTCCAGCGGTAGTGGCTAGGGGACTATGTCCTCCGTTCCCTCCTTCAGGGAACGGTGGGTTGCATACTCAACCAGGACGTTCCCTTTCAGTCAAGTACATAGTCTACGTCGACTGAAATGGGATCAACCATTGAAAACACCACTAAAGCTGCCACTTTCCAGTGCCTAGACAAAAGCCTCCTGATTCTCCCGAGATTTTTAGCGAAAGAGGATATCATGGTAGGGTAACATGTGGAGAATACACATATGAACTGGGCAGACAACACATAGTACAAGCAGTACAACAGAGACAACACAGTGACAGCAGAAGGACTCTGACAAGGGAAAGACACGGACTCGCCGCAGGGAGACAAACTGTGGAAGAATACACATACTGTATGGGATCACTGTAGGGATCGCGACATATGGACCCAGCCTAATACAGGTTTCACACTGCTCACTAGTGGAAGCTCCGTCATGTTGAATGCAGAGGGGGTGTGGAGGAACTCAAAAGGGTTAGGACAAGCGGAACTCAACTGGAGCAGAAAAAGCGCATGTATCTAGTCCATGGGGGGGAATGGTGCAGCAAGTCAACACTTTGAATCGGGCTCACGGTGTTAACTGGCTTCAGAAGAACACACAGGAAGCAACATGCTCGACAAGTCGGCTATAGAATATAGTGAACATATTAGGTGTCACCCAGCCCACAGCTCTACAGACATCTGTCAGTGATGTACCCTGCGCCAACGCCCAGGAAGCGGCTACACTCCTTGTGGAGTGAGCTCGCAATCTGGATGGACAGGGTTCACCTTGGGATTCATACAGCAAGATGATGGCATCCACTATCCAGTGGACCAACCTATGATTGGAGAAAGCCTTTCCCTTCTGCTGGCCTCAGATGAAGAGCTGATCTGAGGTCCTGAGGCTTTGCGTTCTGTCGACGAACAGGCACAGAGCGCGGGCGGGACAGAGAAAAGCCAGGGCTGGATGGACTTAATCTCCTTGCTCCCCGCAGGAACCTGACAATCAGATTGTGCCTTCCCAGGGGCTTTCCATCCACTGCATCGTGATGTGCAGCAATAGAGGTAACATACATTTTGAGGGCGTGCTGTGACCATTCCCTGTGGGCTTCTCACTCCTCCCTTCCACCACAGCCGTGTTAGTCACCTGTAGAGCATGCTACTCCATCTGTAATGGGTGGGCCAGCCGTTTTACCCGGGGCTCCCCCAGAGCCCAACCTGGGAAATTGGGTAGTCCAGGAACAGAACCTTGTCCGCATCCGCCATCTCAAAAAGCCAACGATGGTGCTCCTGGACCACTAAAGTGGACATCGCTAGACCGACCGCGCATTCTGCGACACTCGTGCCCCGGAGGATGAGGTAACTCATGAGCACACGATCTAGACCACCCTTGTGTATGTCCATGAGAGTCTTGCCCTGGTAGACCTGCAACAATGCCAGGGCATGCAAAGAGGAAGCGGCTTGCCTGCAAGATTTGTAAGCTCTGACCGTCAAATCTGACGTGTGGGGAGTTGACTTGTTCTTGGATACTTGAAGACAATTGGCTCCCTAGCTTGATCCCATTTCACAGGAACAAAAAGGGAACATCTAGGGACTTTTGGCATACTCTTTTCAACATACTATGCTTTGGGACACACTTATTTTGATCTCACACACTGTTTAGGATGGATAGTATGGACATTGAGACAGACAATCACAGAACAGGACACAGATCAAAAGCAAACTCAAAACATAACAAACTCAAATTGTGACACTTATATTAAGGCAATCAATTACAATATTTTCACAGTTCTAATTAATGGTGTCTGAACAAATCATTCAATGTTTTTTTTTGTTTTTTGTTTTTCAGCCATCTTCCAGAATCAACATGCTGGCAAGGTGTATTTTGCTTTCACTGACATCATTTAACTTTAAAGCTACATGTAATTTTATTTTGACGCTAGGGGTCGCTCTTACAATAACAAAGGCATAGATTGATGCCGCAGTGAATAAGCAGAATCATGGAACTTGTTATCATAATAATGGAGCTAATAATGTTTACAGTATGAATGAGAGAATACATTGATGTTTTTTAAATTGACTGTGGTATGAAGCAGGTCGCAATTGCTAATGAGAGATCAATATCAGCACCACATGTGAGTCCCACAGATATAAACTACCCACAAGTGCTGAATTAATACTCAAACTGGTCAGTTTATCTAACAAATTAAAATTGTGAGGTAAGCGCTGTTTTACATTGTCTACATTATCATACTAAACTGCTTTTAAGTGTGTTAAAGAGCACCTATCATGGATTTTTGAAAATGACTGTTCATGTAGTGTGGAATGTACCTCTAAGGGAATGAAAACATCCTGCAAAGATTTATATCTGAAAGTGCACCGTATATAAAGTTATTGTCTTTCAAAAGTGAGAGTCGACTCTGAGTCTATGAAATGAATTGTTTTTGAAACGAGTCATTAGCTGTTTCGTCGTGATATAGACACAAAACATCAGCTCATTGGCCGCTCATTGGTAGCCTAGAAATCTAGACGCACCCTAGCGGCAGCAAAAATTATTTTGCAGCAAAGTGTGGTCTAGCAACTCTCCATAGACGTTTTAGCTGGAAAACCCCAACTCTGGTAGGGCCAATCACATCGTGTATAGAGTCGGCGGGCGGGATTAACAAAATGACGACAGAGTTGCGACGGTCAGAGCCAGCTCGGACATATTCGGTTTTAAGTCGTTCATCCTCGGATGCGGCTGGCGCCGCGCGCGCTGTTACAAAAAAGCTGTGGCGAAACGATCAACTTGTCATATTTGCCACGCTCGTGCTGTGTCGTAGAAGATAAAGGCTTTACTCCGTGCCAGCGTGCGCTCTGATCGGTGCACGGACCTCTCCCGAATCATCTCCACCACTCCAAAGCACCACTACTCCGGCTCCGTTTCCCTCGTAAGCTGATATTAGTATTTAAACATTCTCTATGATATTATTTTTTTAATGACACACTGTCTCTTTCTCTCTCATACACACACAAACACACACATACTGTCTCTTCCTCTCTCACACATATGTAGGCTAGTTATTAACTCTTTAGACTTTTAATGATTAGTGTTTTATTTTTAAAGTTTGTGGGTCGTGTAAAAAAAAAATCCCTTATTTTGGGGATGGATTCCGGGAAATCTCCCTTATTTTCAATGTTCAATGTTGACAGCTGGACTGGATACAGTAAAAGTTTGATATATCAACTTGCTCCACTGAGTAAGTCACCTTCTTCGTTGCTCTGATTGGCTGTAGCGCTATCCAATTGCTTGCAGAGAAAATTTGAAAGACAACCGTTTATCCCGCCCCTCGGATTGAGCCCTGTCAATGAAGAGTTTCCAGACCTAACATCTTGATGTAGGTCTGGCATGCCAGGCTACTGCGCGCGCAGATGGAAGTGTAAACTTGAAGTCAAGAACACATTCAAAAACTTCAGTTGAATAGCGTCATGTCGAGAAGACGCTGTGTTCTACATTACAAAGACAGTTCAGCCACTTGTTTTCGTTGCCCAGGGACGAGCATGTGAAGAATCAGTGGTTAGAGTTCATATTTGCAACGATACCACAACACTACATAGCCCGAACCTTGTGTTTTCATCATTTTAATGACGAATCATTCAAAAACATAAAAGAATTCAAATGTGGATTCGCAAGCCGGTTGTTCCCGAAGGAGGGTATTATTAATAATGTTTGCTGTTATGTTTTCTGTAGCATGCACAATATACAGTAGTTATATTGTGTTGTGTGTGTTGTGTACCCTCCGCGCAGCTTCTAAGCAAGGTAAAGTTAGTTTTGTTTTTGATATTCACCAGACATTCATTGAAAAATGGCAATTACCTCCTAAACGACTTAGCCAAATATGTGTTCACTCTATATAATAAGCACTGTCCCTAAAAAGCCGTTCCGTTTCGTTCCGTTGCCGTTGCTGTTCCGTTGCCGACAGTCTCTGCCTACGGTTTACCAATAACAACTGACTGGGTCCTTTGACCAATCGCCGCAGATTCGCGTCACTCAAAGGAGGTATTTAGGAAAATGAATCGTTGAACGAATAATTTGGGAGTCGTTGAGCAAATCGGGTAATAATAAATGCATATTATAAGACAAATAAAGTGTTTTTTATCCTTGCATGCATGTTAAACTGTTTTTGGGAACTCCCAAAACAAAAATAGGAAATGCTTCAAATGCTTTCAAATGCTATGATAGGGGCTCTTTAAAAGTTATAATGTTATTCTATGCTGTATAAGACTCAGTCTTAGTATAAGTATTATTCTTAGTATATTCTATGCTGTATAAGACTCAGTCTTCTTCTCAGTAACTTGGTGATCAGATTGTGTTTGCCCTCAGACTTACCTTCTACTGCATTGTGGAGGGAGACAGCCCAACCCTTCTTGCAGGAAGGAAAGCACAGTTCTGATCTGGCATTTGCAGGGGTCTTCTCACCGAGAAGAACACCACTCAACGAACAGGTCCCACTTCGTAGCCTAAGCACGCCTTGCACGCTCTTGCTTAATTGATAGTGTCTACCACTTGTTGGGATAGATCTCTAAAGTCTTATCCAGAGACCACACTCGGAGGTTCCAGGGTTCCAGTAGCAAGTGCGACATGGTTCCCAGTTTCTAAGAAAGAGCTCCTTACTCAGAGGAATCTGCCTTTGAGGGGCTGTCGTAAGGAGCATTAGTCCTTGGAATCAGGTTCGTTGGGCCAGTACAGTGCAACTAAAAGACCTGCTTTTCAACTGTCTTCCCTGACAGTAGGCTCACTGGGGTAAATGCATACTTGCATAGGCCCCGGGGTCAGCTCTGTGCCAGTGCATCCATGCTGAGGGTCATGAGAGTTTGTCGGCTTGACGATTGAGCTTGCCCGGAATGTGAATGGCACGAAGCGTCCTCAGATGCTTCTATCTCCAGAAGAGGAAATGGTGGGCGAGTTGCAACATGTGACAGGAGCGTGTTTGTCCTGTAGCAGCAATCTGAAGGAACACAGGGTAAGCCGTACTGGCAGCAATTCGTGGCAATTGATGTGCCATCTCAGTCAAGGTCCTGTCCAGCAGCCCGAGGCTGCACATCCGTTGCACATGGCACCCTAGCCGGTGGTGGGGCCATCTGTTGAGGCAACAACCTGCCTGGACACTTGTAGGGGAGTCCTTGCCTGTGGAAAAGCAAGGTCTGACCATGGGTTGAAGGTTTGGAGACAGGTTGGTGTGATTGCAACCCGGTCTGTGCCGATGTGCCATGCCCATCTCGGGACTCGGCTGTGTAGCCAGTGATGAAGTGGTCACATGAAACAGCCCAAGCACTGTGACTGTGGCAGCAGATGCCATATGCCAGGAGCCTCTGAAACAGTTTCAGTGAAACCGCCGTCCTGCCTGAATGAATTCAGGCAATTCAGCATTGAATGAGCAAGTACATTCATGGGACAGGGTGTCATGTTGACCGAGTCCATCTTAACCACACACTCTGGAGTGCTTCTTCTGGGTTTGTAGAACACTAGAAGATGACTGCAGTGCAGAATCAATGAAATGCTCTGCTTTTCTGTTTTTAACACATAGTCGTTGTGTAAACGTGTCAGGATTCTGCCCTGGCAGCCTTGTCTGTGTTGTCTGTTTCATATTTCTATGTTTGTCTTGTGTTTGAGCACATGGCTCTGTATTTTTTGATGTTTGGCATGTGCTCCTTGTCTCCCACCTTATTTTTTGGTGGGACTGCTGGCAGCTGCCTGGCAAGCCTCTGGTTCTGTGAGCAAGAACCTGGCGGCAAGAGATCTACATCAAGCTACAAGTTCCTTGTTTTCCTGCCTGGTCTTTTCTTTGGAGTTGCCTCTATTGCACTTACTTCATCGTCATCTTACTGACAGTCTCAGTCGTGTTGTCTGCCCTGCGCCCTACTGTTTTAACTGTGGTTCACGCTTCACTCTCCCTGCTGTCTCAAGTTTTCTGTCTTGTTAATAAAAACCCACTGTCTGTTCATTTGCATCTGGGTCCTATCTCTTGCAGAATTGTGACAAAAAGTACCTTAAGTAAAGTCGGTGAACGAGGAAGACTTTGTGGAACCCAGCACACCATCTTCTCTGATTGGGAACAAGCATCCAAAATGCAACATCAATAAGTAGGATTTGTTGGCTTAATTGCCTTCAGAATTGAAAGTTTTAGCATAAGTTCTGCCAGGAAGACTTAATTACCGCGTCACTTGTTACCTTCCGGTTATCCAATCACGTTCTTATTCTTGTCGTATAAAAGATCGGTACTTACACATGTTTGAGTTCGCAGATGTCGACGCGACATCAACCTCCACCCTCCCCACCACCACCAGGATGGTCCCATCTATACTTCCCTGGGGAGACGGCTGCACCCCTGCCTTCGTCTTCAGGCAGGAAATGCTGATCCGCTACCCTCGGATTATGATCCAAGGATGGGGCCTACGCCAAAGAACTTTGCAAATAATTGCCTGCTGGGCTGCCAATAAGTGGATGCTTTGTTACATCATTTTATCTGCCGAGTCTTTCTGGTTGAACTGTTAATCTTTTGCTGATCCCCCCCCCCCTTCCTCAACCTAAACCACACAGCAAAGTATGGTTCTGTTTTGAAAATGGATCCTGTTCTAGCAGACAGTTAATGTAATGTCAGTGTCAGAATGTCTCTCATGCGGTCCGAACTTTCCAATAAAGGGATCTACGTGAGCGCTGATCACCACAGAGCTCTTTCGTTCATTCTCAGCTTGCTGTAAAGTGCCCCATTAGGACCAGGCATAAACATATCCAGCTGACCAAGCAAACAAAATAACCCATTAAAAGGGGGATTTTCAAATAATATTACAAGCTTTTAAAAACACCATAATGTGCAGTGGGCAAGATAATTATGAAAGTATTTTACTGCTCAAATTCCAGTAGCTACTCTTGCAAACTATCTTTACGTTGACTGTATTTCCCACAAATCTAGTCATTATTCTGTACTCTAGCATTATAGAATTTAATATTTTTTGATTTTGATATTTGTTTTCTTTACAATGGGAATTGCTATATTCTTAAGAATATTTGTAGCAGCACACATCCAGAAAGGAATCAAAATTGTATCTGTACAGCATCGTGGGAATGTTAAAATGTTAAAGTGCTTCAAAAAAAAATAATAAAAAAAAATATATATATATATATATAAGTAATTTTATGAATTAAAAAAATAAAAGATTAATCATTGTTTTATGAAAAGTTAACAATGCCTTTTTGATTATTAACAACATCCATCTGAATAGGTATAGTTTCCAATAAACTTTAATAGAAAGGACCTGCTTATTGGAAGTGACAGCCAAACCCCTCCCATTTTGTCTCTTTAGCATGGTCTTTTGTTTATTAAAATCCATATGAATGGGTGGAGTTTTGTAATGAACTTTAAAAGAGATGTGTTATAGGGAGTGACAGCCAAACCCCTCCCATTCAGTCTCTTCATCACGCTTTTTCACACACAAACATATACACACATGCTCTCACATACATCCAAACACAGTTACACATTCACAATCTTGTACATCTGGACAGAATGATCAATAAGGAGTCCCAATCGTCTGACCACCTTACAGCAGCCTCGCGCAGAGGGGTAAGCGAAACCTTTTTATCACTCTATTAATGTGCGGATTGTAGCAAGCATGGATGTATTTTGTATTTGATGTTTGCTTTCTTATCAGATTATGGAACAAATGTGGGTTCAAATTAATTGATTTTGTCATTAAATGTAATTGATTTGTGTCTCTGCAATCTGCCTTAACTAAAAAAATAGCAATTAAATAATTAATAAATCAAATAATAATACATATAAAATATCACAGTACAATAATATATTATAAATATATAATATATGTAATTTAAAAAGCAATGGAATGGTTGCGTGTTTTGGATGTCATTCTTATCCACCTTCTGTGCTATTGTTTAAAAAGATACTCATCTGTCTTTGAGTTTAAACTGCTAACCACTTTCTTTTATCAAATTAGAAACTGAAACCATAATATGGGTTATAGAAAACTATATTAAAGTTAATATAATTATATTAAAGTCTCCATTATGATATGTGTGCATTGGTTGAGGAGTGTCCAAAACTGGTTGTGCTTGATATGATGACATGATGATAAGCCAAGGATTGACAGAGTGTCTGTGAGCTTGAAAGTGTGTGGAAGATTTTTCAAAAATGTAGGCTACAACATGACAAAAGCAGATATGTCTGTACTCGCATGTTTTTTTTTACTGCTTCAAGCAAATGCTGAGAGTTAAATCATTTAAAAAGTAATGTTTTTAATCTTTATTGGGCTCAGCACATAACCCCTTGCTATCAAAAACACTAAAATTAATTTGCCAGTTAAAATAAAAATGCGATTCATGTCATAACATCTAAATGAATGTTAAAATCAATTGTTACATTTAATATGAATCAACTTGAAGATTACAACAGTGCACTTTTATTTAAAAGCTCACCTTAAGGTTACAACTGCACATTTTAACCTAATGAGTGATCCTTGCTATGCTTCTTGTGTTGAAAACATGATTCTCTGGAGGGGAAAAAAAGGTAACACTTCAGAATAACAATCCGTCATTAATAGGTAACTATGTATGAAGTAACGCAAGATAAATGAGTAGAACTACATTAACACTTCAGCTACTATTAACTAATATGGAAACAAGATTAACTAATCAGTAAGTAATAGCAAATTTAGGACTGAGCTACTTCCTTATTAGGTGACCAAATAATTGCTGAATCAAACTATGAAACTATGAAAAACTATGAAAAAAATAGTGGTAGTCCAAGTGGTAGTTCTTGAAGATTGTCTTTTTTTTTTTTTTTTTTTTTTACTCTGAATGTTGTCATAAAATGCATCCCTAATATTCAAGTGTTACCTAGTCACTCTTCAAAAACTACCAATGATATGTAACATTATTTTTAAAGTGAAATACTAATTGAGTAATTATGATGCATTTTATGACCACATTCAGAGTTAAAAAGATATTTGCTCACGTCTCAGACACGTTAATGTTGTGAAGAGCATACGGAGTGTTCAGTTATGGGAATCAAGCTTTGCAGTTTGATTTATTCATGTTTTTTTTTGTCTGTAGGTGAGGATGGCAAAAGTGGCAGTAGCTTTAGCCGCTGCGTTTATGCTGGCCAGCATAGCGGTCATCATTTCTATAGCAGTTGTGCAAACTCATAAGAAGACTTATTTATCCCGTGGACTCAAGGTAAAATTCTTAAATTTGAGCATGCCTGATACAAGAGTATGTACGGGACATAAAAACATAATTGGTGCTTACCAGTCACATGTGGGAAGTAATGCATGTTCAAGTAATGCATGTATTCATTCCAATTGTTTAATCATACTAATTTCTCTGAAGAAAGAGTAATGTTTGTATTTTTAATATTATGTGTTGAGAAACAAACATCTCACATCCCACATATGTTATGATATAGGCCACTATTCATTTACAGATGAATAGCAGGCAAAATTGGTCAAGGAATATTATACATCATTTATGAATTGTGCTTTTTTTAATGCTTCATTCAGTTTCATTGAAAACAAATACTGTTTTTGTAACACGGAAAGGAAACCTATTTTCTTAAACATAAAACAACTTTCAGTGGATAATCACCATTCATAGAGTTATTTAATTCAATACAATGCTGACTTAACATTGAGATACATGATCCTTTTGATGACTCATAAAGTCCTTGAAAATTTTCCCAACGGAAGAGAATTATATATTTTTTTCTTCAGTGGAGCTGAGGGCAAATAGACATGTCTGTTCTTGAGTGCTTCACTCAGTCATGATGTATAGACCATGGGATTCTAGCAATTGCTATTCAGCAATGTATTTTGTGAACAGTGCAAATGAATGAGCTCTTTATTGCTTTGCAAGATCTTTAGAGTTTGGTCTTTGGTTACAGTGATGTCCTTCTTCACTTCTGTTGCTCTTTCTTTCTCCAGTATGGTATTGTTTTGGATGCAGGCTCGTCCAGGACTACCATTTATCTCTATGAGTGGCCAGCCGAAAAAGAAAACAACACTGGGGTTGTGAGCCAGACAACAAAGTGTCAGGTTGAAGGTACAAGTCAACTGACATAAAACCTTGGATGGTTTACATAAACACATGGAGGCTTATTCTTTATATAGTAGCCAAAAGCTGAACTGCTGGTTGGCACTTTTCATGAATACTGTATACTTGGGTTAACAAAGCCCACTATTTATTGTTCTAAAACTCAAATTGGTGTGAAAAGCACTAGGTTTAAACAAATCAAATGTCTTTGCTGATGTATTGGCCTTCTCATATATTAGGGGTGTGACGGTACACAAAAATCACGGTTCGGTACGTACCTCGGTTTTAAAGTCACGGTTCGGTACGTTTTCGATACAGCAAAAAGAAAGAAATGCCAGAGAAATGTCCTATTTGTTTAAAGAAAAAATATTTTTAAATAAGTGTGAGTTTTCCTAGATCTTGAAACTTTCAGGTTTATAAATGGGGCTCATCTTTGAAGGATGAACAAATAAGGTTTTGGTCATCACATTAAAAATAACATTTAAATATATATTTATTTATATAATATTTGAATTTTGAAGTGCTGGAAAAAGATGTGCGAAGTACTTGAAAGCATTTCACCATTCCAGCCAAACTGGTTCCTGTTAGTGTTACTATATTAAATCCATGGTGAATGTTGCTGGTCTGTGGACGAAAGTATTACTAGTTCATTCACGGCACAATGTTTCTCCTGGTTTCCATGACAGCGCTGTTTGATCTAATAGAGATCTACGGTTAATAACGGAGAAATGTGAATGCATCTCACTAGATCTCGCAGCGATGTTATTGGCGAATTCAAATGTTTTCTTTACCGGATCTCTTAGCGCTGTGTGGTAACAGTGTTGCTTGATCGAGATCGGCTCGCGCTGCACAGATGTTGCTGGTCCGAACTGATAAATGATCCATGAAGCACATAACGAGTAGCGCAGTTCTGCTTTCATTACGCTTGCCATTTGATGTTGTGCAACGTTGTGTTGGCCGCGTCAGCACGAATTTTGCCGGCAGGAAAAATGGTCCAAGCAATCGTTCGGTTTGTATGCGTACCGAACCGGAAGCCTCGAACCGAAACGGTTCAATACGAATACATGTACCGTTACACCCCTAATATATATATATTAGGGGTGTAACGGTACACCCAAAATTATGATTTTATATATATATATATATATATATTAGGGGTGTAACGGTACACCCAAAATTATGATTTTATATATATATATATATATATATAAAATCATAATTTTGGTTTGTTGAGTTCATATTAAGTTCCGTATAAAAATCATAATAATTTAATTTATTACCAGAATCATACTACGAAATATCTCACATTTTGTGTGCAACCCTGTTACCATATGATTTTCTGTCTATTACAAAAATTAAACATTTTTAAAGGGGTCATGAACTGCATTGCTTTATTTTAGAATATTTCCTGGGGTGCACTAATAATGTTAGTATGTTCCCTTTCGAGGGAACTCGTAATGCGTCGATGACGCTTTGGGAACGCCTTCGCGTGATCACCTCTGAAGCATGTATGTCAACTAGTCCAATGGAATGAATGAACGGGCGGGTGACGTCATGACCAGGAGAGGATATACTGTAAGCACATCCGGTGCATTACTCGCGTTAGCTTTTATGCCTCAGCAAAGCGCTAGGTGTCAAAACTTTCTGTGAATATTTATTGTTGTCTGTATACACAGCCTGTTCTCATCCTTTAATGTCATATAGAACGCTATATGCAAAAACGGCGCTATACTACGCACATGGCACCCTTTATCGTTAATATAACACGCGAACCCAAGACGTCATAAATCCTTTAGCGTGAATATGACACGCAGACCCTACCCCACACCTAAACTTAGCCCTCACAGCGCGTGTTATATTAACAATAACGGGTGCCATGTGCGTAGTATAGCGCCGTTTTTGCATATAGCGTTCTATATGACGTTAAAGGATGAGAATGCGTTGGTATACACTATACACTTGTCAATGAATGAGAAGTTTCGAACCAGTGCCACCTAGTGGTAAAATACCGAATACCACCTAGTGGCTACCGTTACTAAATACGGATTGTGTAGCCTTGCGATTTAGCGCTTACATTTTTTTTTTTTTTTTTGTCAATATCTTCAAAACCTTTGGGCTAATCGAGACAAAACCACCAAGCTTGGAAACATACAGTACATATAGGCCTATAACAGAATTTATATAATGTGATGTCTCTTTTCAAGGCCCCGGAATTTCAGATTTCGGTGTAGACAAGGAACAGGACATAAAGACATGGAATAGTTTAAAACATTGCATGGCAGAGATAACCAAGGCCATTCCCTCCCATCAGCATAACTCCACCCCAGTCTTTCTTGGGGCAACAGCAGGAATGAGGCTCCTACAGTAAGAATTATTTTCCATTCCTCTTTTTGATCATATTTTCTGCTTACATTATTACCTTTACTTCACTATATGTTTATGTATCAGTAGATATGTAAAGATCAGTAACCATTTGCTATGTAACACCTATATCCAATGAAGATGAGGGCAGATTCAGTAGTTCAAAATAACAACGAGCGCTTTAACGATTTAACAAGCGCTACCAACACGACACAGTGTGCATGGCACAAACAATCCCAAACAATGAGGGAAAGGAACATAATGACATACAGCTGTGTTGATTGAGTGTCTATGGTTTAATTTAATAATCAACAAAATTATTGATCTGCCTGCATTGACACCATTAAATGAGAACTGAAGTGAGCTGGACAATGACATCACGGTTTTATAATAACTTTAATATTAAATGAATAACTGAGGCCTACTGTGTTAATAAATAATAACTTAAAATTAATAAATTGAATCATCACTGAACTTACTTATAACGGGACCATGACACAATTTTCTTCTGGAAACAAACTTTGTTGCATTATTTCCTGTTATCTCTATAAAGCTGCTTTGAAACAATCAGTATTGTAAAAAGCACTATATATAAATAAAGGTGACTTGACTTGACATGGAAACTGACGAGTGGCGGGAAACCTGAACAAGGAAACAGGGGACTGATGAATACAAACTAATAGTCCATGAAAATAAATCAAACAGAACTGAGGGCTCGAACATAATTGTGACGCATACAGTGTTAGACAATAGAATATTGTAAAAAATAACAGAATATCCACTTCATTACTTCATATTCCTTAGCCGATATAAATTAAGAACAACATGGTGCAGTCAAACTATGTGCACTAGAATGTTTATAATTATGACAATGCATAATGAAATAAAGCTTGCATTTTCAATGTGAATAAAAAGTTTTTGAAATATTGAAATGCCACTATATAGAAATGCCACTCCCTGCTCTTTATTAAAAATAAAGTGGATGGCAAAAGAAAATGTCTTCATGCACTTGTTCATAATTTTAACACGCTGTTTTTAACACTATGTTTTTTTATTACTCAATTATTATATTCTAAAAGTAAATACTAAATTATTATTAATTAATTTAGTTATATACTAAATTATTATGTTGTATTGAGTTAACGTGACACTTATACAATGTGTCCTGCATCTTTGCCAAATCTTTTTTTACACAGTATGAAAAATGAAGACACATCCAACGCTATCCTGAAAGACATGAGGAACTACCTTAGCGCCCTTCCTTTCAATTTCCAAAATGCTTCCATCATCTCTGGACAGGAAGAAGGCCTTTATGGTTGGATCACTGTCAACTACCTGATGGGGAACTTCTTAGAGGTCAGTTCATGGGCTGCTTTACTGAACCTTTTTTTATTTTGGTCTCTCACTTCAGACGATATGATTAATGATTTTGATGACATCACTCTGCACTTCAGCTTCTCATCTGTCCAATCAAATGCTCTCTACAATATGAAGTGTCCTGACCCCTACTTTTAATAGACGTTGAAGCAGTCGCTGAAATCGGTCACTTGTTCACACTATTACTGTTTTCTATATGGCGAATGGCACAAAGTGCACTGATAGGGAACAATTCAGACAATGTAAATATGCTTTCCATTGGGGCAAACGAAGTCTGGTTTTGTGTTAGTGTCTGCCATTTCACCATTCTGCATAGAATGCTATATTTTAAAGTGATATGGAGGAGTTTAGGAGAAATGGTTTAACAGATTCGGCATTATAAAACAGCATTGACAAATGTGAGGTGAGGATCTGCTTGATATGTACCTCCCTGCCTTCCTGTTTCAAAATTGCGTCACCTCATAGAAAAATGCTGTGCGCTTCAAGGCCTTTCAGTCGACCTTTAACCCTGTCAATGTAAGATCTTGAGTTTAGCCTCATACTGTGGTATTTTCCCCAGTTATTTGTCTTCATTATGAAACAGAGTCTGGATGAGTTCAAGGCATTGCAGTCATCTTGACAGAATATTGAATCAAAAGCAGAAGCGGACAACAGAGCTTAATCAAACTTTTAAAATGTTAAACTTTAGTCTGTTTTATAGAGAAATCTTTGGAATGCCTGGGTACATCCTCATGGTGCTAAGACAGTTGGATCATTGGACTTGGGTGGAGCCTCCACCCAAATTGCCTTTGCTACTTCTGATGATGCCAAAGGAGAAGATATCATTACGGTTTCGCTCTATGGCTATGAATATAATATCTACACACACAGTTTCCTCTGCTACGGGAAAAATGAAGCTGAGAAAAGAGTTAATGCCAAACTTGCAAAGGTATAGTATGCTTATGTCACTGAATGTTATTTCAACCAAAATATGGGTTTTATTTAGGATACAGACTATTTTGTACTTTTAGATTAAGTATCAATATGTTTCTTCTTGATAATTACTAAGACATTGATCACAATATTGTGTAAAACCTTTCTTAGAAAATCCATTATTGCTAATGCTGAGCGATGCAATTAAACCCATAGCTTATGCTTAACGTTTCCCCAGAGAAGCCACGTCAATACACCAGTCATTTAATGTATGGTTGAAAGAGGGATGAATTAAGCTTTTTTTTTTCTCGTACGTCAAATCTTCCTGGAAATTTTATATTACTGTAATTGGTTACTGGATTTTTTTTTTCTTTAGATGCTTTAACTATTATCTAACAAAAAATTATCCTAGCAGTACAAGTGACTAGTTTTAAACGCATCAAATATCTGTAACCACTCATTAGAATCAAGTTTTGGCCTATCCCACCGCAAGTCTTTAAACTATTTGCATTTATTGGAAAAATCAGAAAATTCTGCTATTTCCCAGAATTTTGGTGCAGTGGATGAGACACATGCGTTTGGTGTGAGCGACCTAGGGTTCCAATCCACTGTGAGACATACAGTATATAGCAATTGTAAGTCTCTTTGGATAAAAGAGTCAGCTAAATGAATAAAAATGTAAATGTAAATAGCTTTTAACACTAAGAGTAAATTATAGTCAGATGTTATCTCCATTAAATAGAGTTTGATAATTTGTATACTTAGTGCACATAGAGGCAGATTCTATTTGCACTCCAGTGAATGCACTAATAGCAACATATTCAGTGTATATTATATTATATTGTAATCATAAATGGATGCTGCCTTATTGGTTCCTTGCTTGTTTCTAAGACCGAAAGCCCTCTTCCTAACCCAAACCACATTGAAACTTGTAAACTTCAGAGAAGGGAGACACTCTTTTGAGCATGTTTACAATATGATCACTACAATAATGTAATTTTGTATTTCTAAACCAGACAATGGTGGGTGGAGCAGTAAATAGCCTTTGCTAACAAAATTGGCCATTTGTTATATTACTGTAACTATTACACTCTAAAAATGCTGGGTTGTTTTAACCCAGTTTTGGGTAAAATATGGACAAACCCAGCCATTGGGTTACATTTTAAAATGACATTTTTAACCCAATGGCTGGGTTTGTCCATATTTTACCCAAAATTGGGTTAAAACAACCCAGCATTTTTAGAGTGTATAATGGCCAAATGATTAATAACATTACCGAATAATAAAAAAATCACTAATTGCAAAAAAATATCATTCCATTGTAAAACCTAACCCAAGAAGTAACACTTGTTCATAATTTTGGAACATGTACTAACTCTTTGCATTGTTTTCCTTTCAGGAATCCACCAACTGGAGTAGTGTGATGCACCCCTGTTATCCTTCCGGTTATAATATCTCTATGCTTGCAGAGGATATTTTTGGAAGTGAATGCACAAATAAAGACATTCATTTGAGGTATAGCCCAAAGAAAACAATTACTTTCTTTGGACAGAGTAAGCCTGGACAATGTAAAGACTTGGTCAGGGGTATCTTTGACCTGACGTCCTGCCAGGGAGCTGAAAACTGCTCCTTTGATGGAGTTTATCAACCAACCCTCAGTGGTGACTTCATGGTAGGTATTTTTTCTTTAGTTAAGATAAAACTAGCAACAGTTTCCTCCAAAATGCAAATTCGGTCATTATTTAATCAACTTTGTATCATTCCAAACCTGTATGTCATACTGTATGTGTCAAACTCCGCTCCTGGAGGCTCACTGCTCACTGTCCTGCAGTGTTATCTCCCTGGGAGTTTCGAGTTGTTTTTGAAATCGCCCCTATACTCTCATTCACCATTCCCTAAATTACTCCACTAATAAAGTCCATTTGAAGGAGTGAATGATTACGAGTGAATTCGGACACTGAGTGTACCAGAAGGGCTGCCACTTTTGCATAGTTTGTGTTTGCCGTAAATAATAATTTAAAACTTTGCAAACTAGTGACTCCAGTAGTTATAAAACTCTATCATGGAAACTATAGCATAAACCTTAAGTGAACAATTTAATAATGAATTAAAAAGCCCTTTATATCTATATGATATTATGCTGTGGCCACATTGGACCAGCGGTTTTGAAAATGGATGGATGGATGATGCAGCTGCGGCGTTATCTTCTGTGAGACATGGGAATTCATTAGGCACGACCCTTACAGTACATTATGGATATTCTCTCTAGCCGTTGAGTGTACATCAGTTATTATTGCGGTGCATTATAGGATTTAATGAATGCACTCAATAACGTCCACTATGGTTTCGGACACTACTACAAATGGCTGTTCCCTTAAATAGTGCCCTATTTAAGGGTAGGGTGGCGATTTTAGACCTCGATTAACTAATTCAGATGCGTTTAATTTGGATTAGCATTAAAATCTGTTGATTTTAATTCTAGACTGCTGGAGTTTCACACCCAGAGGAACCCCAATAACTTCAAATGTCACTGCTTCTTGCATGTTAATGTGACAATGTTACAGCCTAAACTATATTTCATTCATCTGGATCTATTAAAGCACTTATTTTTGTGTCTTAGGCCTATGCAGGGTTTTACTGGACTGCTTGGGCTCTTAAAGTAGAGGGTTCCAAAAGTATGGAGCTATTCAACAAGAACATGGAGCTGTTCTGCTCAAAGGACTGGAAAAATGTGAGTACCAGCCAACTGACTTACAGGAAAATATAGATTGGGAGGAATGAGTGCTGTGGTTCTTTGTTACATTTATGATTGATGTGTACAATCAATAAGCCTACCTTTTAATGTCCACCCTCCCCCTCCTTTAGCTCAAGAAAAACACCACCATCAGAGACATCCATCTGAAGTCCTACTGCTACTCTGCAAATTATGTGCATACCATTCTTGCAGATGGTTACAAGTTCAACATGGGCAACTGGAAAAATCAGAATTTTCAGAAAGAGGTGCATTGCCTTTCATGTTTAGCATGAGATTGTGTGAATATGTATATGCTACACACATATATATATATATATATATATATATATATTGTGTGTGTGTAGATGCCACACAATATATACTGCACATAACCTAAAACGGCTGTAAAATTTTAAAAAAAAATGTATGTAAAAAAGTGCAACAAAACTTAATGTACACATTTTCTAAACATTTTAATCTTCAAATTCTTGCTTTTAAATGGTCCAAAAATTGGTCCTATTTACATCAATTGTAGGCTAAGTGGCTCACTATAAACTTCATAATTTGCATTGACAAACGTTGTCGATTGACTTTAAACTGAACTTGAAATATTAATTTAAAACCTTTTCACAGCAAATGCGTCTCAATGCATGACTGTAATGTGAAATCAGCTCTGTCTATCCAAAATGCTGCAGTGAACAGGACCTCTGTAATTGTCTCTTTGTGTTTCAGGTAAATAAGACCAGTATAGCTTGGTCCCTTGGCTACATGCTTACACTTTCCAACATGATCCCAGCCGAAGGGAAAATCATCAAGCTACCCATAAACAACGTGCTTTTCACCGGACTCCTCCTCCTGTTCTCTACTCTGACTATTATCACCCTCACGTACCTCGTCATTGCTCTGGTGCGCTACTGTTATTGAGGTATTTGTGCTGAGTTCCCATCTATATTGTACTGAGTTCTCATCTGTAGGACCAGTGTCCCACTTAAGGAGGTTTTGGAAACCAGGAGAGATGTCGATGTGTCAATGCAGATGTACCTGCTAGAGAAGGGTTTTAGTTTTGGAACATGAAGGTCTTAAATGTCTAGCTGTGCTAAGGGTAAAAAAAAAAAAAGACGCCTGATGTGAACTCCAAATGTGTTAACATGTATTAAATGTCATATCCAAAAAGGGGTAGGTCTTTCTAGTCCTGGAATACAGTGGCAAGATCTTGTACTGTGGATTTAAAAGACACCGAAGACAAAGTAAAGGTTTTAGCTTATATACAGTAAAAAGGATATCTACTATGGTCATGTCAATGTTTTGATTGTATATTGTATCTAATGTTTATCTTATCCCTAGCGTCATGCCTTATGTATCTTACACATGTATTTCTGCATGTGCTCTGCAAGCACAGATTGTCTTTGGATGAAATGTCATAGTATCTAAATAAATGTTATGGTTGTTATGGCACCGAAGACTAATGATTATATTTCTAGGAAAATTAGGTATTTTAACTTGTAGTCTGGGCATTGGGCATTCTATAATGTAATAATGTAAATGTTATTAAAAATGGACAAACATTTATGTAAGGAACACATGAAGAAACTACGTTGGGGATAATTTGTGTCTGTTAATAATACTTCTGCCAGTGTTCTGTCTGTTAAAGGGGTCATGAGCTGGCTTTTTAAATTTTATTATATTGTTGTCTGAGGTCAATTTATGACGTTCGCTTGGTTTTTTGCTTTCAAAAACATCAAAATTAATAAGTAATAGGCTATTTTGTACCCAAGTTTTAAGCCTACCTGAAAAACGCTCGTTTTTTTTTTTTGTTTTTTTTGGCATCTCGCACTGAAGACTTGGAAGTAAACGCCCACTGCTGTGAGTGGATAACAGTTTTGCATATTTTAATGAGTTTCAATTCACCTGTCGATGCACTTGGGGGAAATTGTTTTGAAAACGTCCAATGTTGTAAAATGGCAACCGGCATGATTCGACCCAGAGTCTCTGTGTTGCACAATTCCTGTCAGATTCAATATAGACGGCACAGCACTGTTCTTTTAATCGGTCTGCAATTCCAGTCTTGTTTACAAAACTATCTTCAGTGAAATTAAGCGAACAGACGGAAAAATGTTTTACCTCATCAGCTGGAACATCATTAAAAATAAGGTTTGGAATCCAGAGGAAGCTTATGCAGCGACTGTCTTCTTCCACAACCAGGCACTGCCCAATATTTTGTATTGCTCGGTAGCTCGATCCGGATTGTCATCACAAGGTAGGCTGCGGCATCTATGTTATTTAGCTATATGTGTAATGCACGAATCGGTGGGCGGGGCTTAACCGGCCGTGTTGAAGTAGGCGTTGATCTTCTTCTGCGGGGGTGGTGTTTTATCCTCTTTGACATCATAGTTCCCCACTTTTAAAAACGAGTCGTTTGCTGAGCCTGGTGTCAATAAAAGCTTTTATTGGACTAACAAGGATGTTTTACAGCATATTCTCCTAGATGTCAAATCTCAAGGAAATTGTTATTTCTCAGTTCATCACCCCTTTAAAAAAAACATTAAGAAGACGAACCATAAAATGTAATATTTATAAATATATATACAGTTGCAATCGAAACGATTCAACCCCCATTGCAAATCAGATTTATTGGCAAAATGCACAGACTTACAGCTGTTTGCAATGAACAAATAATACAAAGGTAATTGATAAACAAATGTTTCAAGTGGTTTCTCCAAAATTAAATGAAAGTGCAACTTTTAACAACTTCTGCAGTTTCAAAAATGTTTAACCCTCTGAATAGAATCTCTCACAGCAACACAAATCTGCCAAACAGGTGTTGTTTCAAGCACACCTGATGCAACTAATCAATGGGTTCATTAACTAGAACAGGTGTGCTTGAACTATAGAAAATATGAAATATCTGACCTGGCTAGGTTTGTTGAGTCTCACATTTAACTCCAAATTAGAAATACGGCTAAGGCACTAATGGTCCAAAAAGTAAAAAAAAAAAAAAAAAAAGTACCATCGCCCTTCACAAACAAGAAACAGAAAACAAAAATATAGCGAAGGCACTAAATGTTCCTAAAGACACCGTTGGAAGCATAGTTTGTGTGTTCAAAATTAAAGGAACCGTTATTACACCACCTGAACGGGGCAGAATAAGGAAGCTATCAACACCTGCAACCAGATTTCAAGACAGTTTTAGAAAAACCCTCGAGTGACTGCAAAGGTCCTGCAGCCAGACTTGGTGGCAACAGGCACTGATGTTTCAGCTGTAAAGTAATGTGCGTACCATTGCTCATGAGGAATAGGTTAAGATTCCTCAAATGCTGCCAGAAGATGGGGTCTGGTTACACATCTCGATTGTAGCAGGTCATAACAGTAAAATGGTGTTCTAAAGGGGTTGAATAATTTTGAGATTACATACATCAATAAAAGTTGCATTTTCATTTGTGCTGGGGAATCCACTTGAAACATTTGTTGTGTTGCGGTATTTTAATTACTGTTTAATTTGTTCATTGTAAACAGCTGAAAGTCTGTAGATTTTGCCAACAAACCTGTTTGCAATATATATATATATATATATATATATACTGTATATGTGTGTGTGTGTGTGTGTGTTAATCAAAATTATTCAACCACATTGCAAATCATAATGTTTTATATATATATAATAATAATAAAAAGAATAAACAGAAGATTGCCTTCAACACTATAAAGCAAGTTAAATAAAACAGTATAATCTTTTTTTTTTATGTTCAAAAAGCATATATGTACAAGTAAAGTTAATCTGACCAGATAGAATTCACCATGATATTATTAGGTTAAAAAGGCTAAAAGCATCCCTTAAATATTTTTTATTATTGATTTAAATATTACAGTTACTGAAAAATCAGTGTGAGCCCAGTTTGCACCAATGTTATTTTAGTTGAAATACTATTTTAGTTTATGATATTTTTTTGAAATATTTTTATTGTTTGTCATTTTAGTTAAAGTTTAACATTTTATGTCTATGTAGATTGTATTCATTTTAAGTTTAGTTTTAAGTTATTTTAGTACAGCAAATGCAAATAAGAAATGCAACTAATTAAAAATAGTTTAAGTTTTTTAATATTTCATTTAATTTCATATTTAATTAATAATTATGGATTATTTTTTTACAGTAGTGATAATGTGGTCCCGAACTAGCACAATCTTCCCATATACTGTAAATCACCATTCAACCAGTAGAGGACAGTATAATTCCACAGTAAATTATCAAGGTCCAATAAATCATTTCTAGACAAAATCTTTAAGGACCATGACACAGAATGTGAAATAATGAATACTATACTTGACATAAATCATTTTCTTAGTAAAATTCAAGCAAAACAGTTTTCCAAAGCCCTCCATTTCCCCATTTTAAGGACAATTATTGTTAGTAATGTGAAATCGTGGATCTCCTTTAAACAATGTTTCAGAATATTTCATCATTTTCTTCATTTTTTTCCCCAATGATGTATTAATACAAAGATGCCACAAAAATGTTGTAAAACATTAACTCCAGCTGTAATTACTTCAGTATAAATTACAGTTAACATGAAGAGTTCAGATGCAAAAGCCTCTAAATGCCATTTGAAATGTTCTTCTTTAATGATGATTTTTATCAAACTTGTATATTTAAGTTCAGTAATTTCACTTAAATAACAATTAATAGGTAATTATCATTGCCATTTAAGTGAAATCACTGAACTTAAATATGCAAGCTTGATAAAAATTATCATTCTAGAAGAAAATTTCAAATGGCACTTAGAGGTTTTTGCATCTGAACTCTTCACATACAGTACACTCTAAAAAGAAAGGTCATTCAGCGTTTCTTCATGGGTTCTTTGCGGTGGTCATGGTGCTATTTTAAAGAAACTGTTAAGCCCAGTTTGGTTCCTCAGTGGTTCTTCAGTGGTTCTCTGGGGTGGTTAACATGCTCTATGGCACCTCTTATGGTTCTACACCATATGACAAAGTGGTTCCCCTACAAAGCCAATGAACCACTGTTAGTGCTATTTAGCACCATTTTTTAGAGTGTAGTAATGAGATCTGAATGAGGATTTTGTTTCTATAAAAAATTCAATGAAGATCACATACAACTCTGTGTATTAGCAATACGACGTAAACTCTAGAGGCGCCCAGCCCAGGACAATAAATCTCCTCAGTGTTTTTTTTAAAGACTTCTCATGTTACACAGCACATTCCTCTCCAAACCTCCACTCTGCTTTCCCTTCTCAAGTCCACCATCCTCCTGCAACGTGCTTTGTTCTGAGACTTTGGAGACTTTGCATTGGAAATGGAACAATAAACCAAGGGAAAGTCACTTTGGATGCATCTCACGACACGTACGGTCCAGTTAAGATGAGAACTTGACGTGCTGGAATAATAGTGTGTTTGAATGAGGAGCGCAGGAATTAAGATGATGTGGCGCTGATGCTGTGAGTGAACAGCCAAAGCATTAGTCTGCTGACGTTAGTGTTTATGATGGTAAGTGTCCAATTGAGAACAGTTCAGTATTATACGTTTTAAAGTTGCTAGAGTTTATGTCGCACAGGTCATGTTCATCAGGGAATTATCAAATACCTGTAAGCATTAATTGTCTGAGATGAGTTTTTATTGTTTAACTCACAATGCAAACTCTCACCTAAGTTGGAATGCATGCTTTGTATATAAATTCAGTGGAAACGGATCAAAAGAGTGTGTTGCAGTGCTCTTTGCAGGACATGACACTAAAGCACATTGTGTGTATTGAGAATGAGATCAGACCTCTGATTTACACTCTGCAAGATGCATCCAAGAGTTGTACAACAACAGTGCCTAATGTTTTACAGCATTGAGAATACTTTGAATCATTCATCCCAGCTCCAGCCCTTCCCAGCAGACCCTGTTAAATTCCCTTACTCAGCAGACACAAAGTTAACTGCGTTCTTTGAGGGTTTAGTTGCAGTTACCATGCATTTGCATTGCTATTATTTGCAGAGATGGCGATGAAAACGTATCTGCTTATCATTGAACCCAAATCTAGCCATTATGAGGTCAAATTATTTAAGGTTATCTTTGATATGGGTCACTGCTTTAGGCACTATTTAGACACTCTTTGCTGTTATAACATTGAGTCCTTTAATACAGGGATTCCCAAACTTTATAGTCAGCCGAACCCCTTTTGGACATTTTCTTGAATAACCCACTGAGATTTAAAGGGGTCATGAGCTGGCTTTTTAAATTTTATTATATTGTTGTCTGAGGGCAACTTATGATGTTCGCTTGGTTTTTACAGTCAAAAACATCCAAATGAATAAGTAATAGGCTATTTTGTACCGTAGTTTTGAGCCTACCTGAAAAACGCTCGGTTTTGGGCGTCTCGCACTGAAGACTTGGAAGTAAACGCCCACTGCTGTGAGTGGATAACAGTTTTGCATATTATAATGAGTTTCAACTCATCTGTTGATGCACTTGATGGAAATTGTTTTGAAAACTTCCAATGTTGTAAAATGGCAACCTGAATGATTCGTCCATACATGTTTGACGTGTGTTGCACAATTCCTGTCAGATCCAATATAGACGGCACAGCACCGTTCTTTACTCTTAATCGGTCTGCAAATCCAGTCTTGTTTACAAAACAATCCTCAGTGAAATTAAGCGAACAGACAGACAATGTTTACCTCGTCAGCTGGAGTGGAATGTCATTAAAAACAAAGTTTATCCATGCAGTCCTATTGGAATCCAGAGGATATGCAGCGACTGTAATAATTTAAACAATAATTTGTATTGATCGGTAGCTCAATCCGGTTTGTCATCACGAGGGAGGCTGCGGAATCTATGTTATTAACCTATGCATGCAATGCGCGAATCGGTGGGCGGGGCTAAACCGCTGTTGAAGTAGGCGTTGATCTTCTTCTGCGGGGGTGGTGTTTTATCCTCTTTGACATCATAGTTCCCCACTTTGAAAAAACTTGTCGTTTGCTGAGGCTGGTGTCAATAAAGCTTTTATTGGACTAACAAGGACGTTTTCAGTTCTGAAACTTACAGGATATTCTTGTAATATGATGACCTCTTAGATGTCAAAAGCTCAAGAAAAATTTGATTTCTCAGTTCATCACCCCTGTAATACTGAAATTTTTTGATTTACTGAGAATTATTTTGATTGTTTTTAAGTCACTTTTATTTATACCTATATAGATTTTAACAATACAGTTTGTTTCAAAGCAGCCTCAAAGCAAATTACAGGGAACTAACAAACTTTAAATATGAGACATTCAACTTCACCAGTGAAGCAACTCTAGAAAGACTATAGTGTGGTTATTGTATTTAAAATTATTTATTTTAATTATTAGCTTTTCAACCAGTCGCAAACCCCCTGCAGTTCCCTCAAACACCAGTTCGGGAAAACCCTTCTTTAATAGTAAGGAATAATTGATGACTGTCTGTTGAATTATTAGAATGCACACCACAAGCGTTTAAGCGCAAGTGTGTCCGTGTGTATCTCAGCAGTCTTCGCCAGCAGCGTCTTTAGCAAAACTGTAAGCTCACCTGCTTCAAGAACAGCACAGACATTCCCTCATTAGTTATAAATGTCATGTAGCGTTTAGGTTGCTAAACTCTTTTACGGATAAAATTGACAGAGCAGCAGAAAACACATTCATAGCGAGTTTGTGTCTATGTGTGTGCATTTGAGTGGGAGAGTGGGAGCGTATGCACTTTCCCTGCATAATAAAATCAAATTTTGTGGCAAAATCATTGAAATAATTTGTCATTTGTATCCTATGTTTAATTTATTCATTTTTTGCTTGGTCCGTGTCGTTGTGGGTTTTAGTTTTTTTGCCGTTGTGGGTTGTCCTCAGTCGGAAAAGGGTGGCTTGCTCACTTCAGGTTGGTGGAGAAATCCTTCCTCAAGTGGAGGAGTTTAACTATCTTGGGGTTTTGTTCATGAGTGAGGGAAGGATGGAACGGGAGATTGACAGACGGATCGGTGCAGCTTCTGCAGTAATGCGGTCGATGTACCGGTCTGTTGTGGTGAAGAAGGAGCTGAGCCGTAAGGCAAAGCTCTCGATTTACCGGTCAATCTACGTTCCTACTCTCACCTATGGTCATGAGCTTTGGGTCATGACCGAAAGGACAAGATCCCGGATACAGGCGGCCGAAATGAGCTTTCTTCGCAGGGTGGCTGGGCGATCCCTTAGAGATAGGGTGAGAAGCTCGGTCACTCGGGAGGAGCTCAGAGTAGAGCCGCTGCTCCACCACATCGAGAGGGGTTAGCTGAGGTGGCTCAGGCATCTGTTCCGGATGCCTCCTGGACGCCTCCCTGGGGAGGTGTTCCGGGCACGTCCCACTGGGCGGAGGCCCCGGGGAAGACCTAGGACACGCTGGAAAGACTATGTCTCCCGGCTGGCCTGGGAACGCCTCGGTGTCCCCCCAGAAGAGCTAGAGGAAGTGTCTAGGGAGAGGGAAGTCTGGGCATCTCTGCTTAGACTGCTGCCCCCGCGACCCGGCCCCGGATGAAGCGGAAGAAGATGTGTATGTGTGGTTGTAAGGACCTTTGAAATTACTGAAAACATTTGGTGAAGTGATGTGAACGTATTGCGGTCAAGACCTGCCTGGAACTATACTTTTGCCTTATGTTTCCCTGACAATAATTGCATATGCACAACTTAGAATGTTCATCAACCAATCAGATTTAAGCATTCAACTGCCCCGTAGTAAGGAAATAGGCTAAGCCATGTATAGAGGCATGTGACAAAGCATTTTATTGCATTGGCACTGGCATACAGATGTTGATGTAAAAATCTGTAATTTAAAGGTGCAGTGTGTGATTTTTATCGACATCTAGCGATTCGGTTGCGAGTTTGCACTAAGGGCTCAGCCCACTACTCACCTCTCCCTTTCGAAGAAGCTACGGTTGCTAAAACGGGACAAACATCTCGTCGGCTGAGACAGCAGAGAATAGCCAGAGTAAGGCAATAGTGTGTAACATTGTCATTGTTTCTGTACGACAGTCCATTATGAACCAAATCATGGATAAAGTTTACAAAGCCATAGTCAGGTGAGGATCAATGGTCTTAATATAAATAATATAATAATAGTAATCAGCTGATTGTCTCACAAATGTAACCAGCACATTTCTCCCCACATAGCAAACCCAAAATACAGCGAGGGAGAAGAATCACATGCAGCTATATTTTTTTCTAACAGGGTTGTAAAAATGTAGCTGGCTAATATGAGCTGGTACTGTGGCGGAACTGGTTAAAGCATAAAGCCTTGTTTATACTCGAAGCGTCCGCATGAGTCCAAAGGTGCGCACGGCAAAAATGACGTGATTGTAACAGCGCGTGCACCTCTGCATCCCATAGACACCATTTATTACATACATAATAGGCTTTTTTCTCTGATTTTGAAAACTCTTTGCAATCGTCTTCGATCTCTTATAAGATCGACGGGTTAGTGATTCCTGTAACATACTGTTTTGCGGTAGTATCAACTCTCTCGTGAATGTAACCAGCACATTTATATCCACATAGCAAAGCCATAACACAGCGAGGGAGAACTACTGTAAGTTACATGAAACAATCCAACTACATATTTTACACCACTCACAAGGGAAAAGTCACTACTCACGGAGTTTATGGCTAGCTTCCAGCTTTCTGCTGCTTCTCTTTCAAGCTAGTGACGAAACACGCTCTGTAGTGCTGTTTGTTCGCGTTCGGCTACGGTAGAAACATCACGTCACAATATGGCGACCTTCATAGAAGGGGATGCCCATGTCTCATTCTAAGGTAATAAAAACATTACGGTTTATTAAGTAAGTTCTTTATACACCACTGAAAACACCATAGTTATGGATGTCATATTGCATTTCTGTTAATAGATACTCAACTTTTTTACACATTGCACCTTTAAAGAATTGAATCTGATCAGAAAATGATCAGACCTCATAGAGAGAATTTGTTGTCTGCATGAGATTTTTTTTTTAGACCAAAACTATAACATATAGCTGTGATTTTTTGTTTATTTTTACTTGAACTAGCCAATTTCCTTTTTTTTTACTTTTTGGCAAGAGTTAAGAGTTTTCTTCTAGCAAACCTTCCAACTGTTTTGTTGGAATGGAGATGGTGTTTAATTACAGGTTTCAGGATTGTTGAAACCAGGATGCTAAAAGCACTCGCAATTGTCCATCTGTGGTCCTTGTTTTGTGTACAATAAATTATTTTACATTGTCTTATTTATAAATGTCTATTCGAATGTCTCATCAGTTTCTTACATGAGAATGGGCATTTGGATAGCCAGATGTTTTCAAAGCAAAGAATATTAATCTAATGCACATCTGTCTAGAGCTTCAATTATTCTGGAAGTTACTGCTTTTATGTTTGTTGTTCTGTTTGTGTTGTTTTATGATAGCTGGCATGACTTTTCTACTAGATTAGTTTTTTTTTTCCAGATTTGTCACAGATTTATGGATTCTGAAAACCCAAATAATATTACCATTCCAAAAC